GGTTTGGGGTTTAGGGTTTAGCCTGCGGAGCCTCTGCAGTTTCCGAGGGGAGGCCTTCTGCCTCCAGGATGCCCACAGCACGACGCAGCAGCTGCTTCTCAGTGGAGGGCCGAGTGCCATAGAGCCACGACAGAAACTCCTCGAAATTCACCAGGCCATCCTTGTTGGTTTAGGGTTTAGGGTTTAGGCTTTAGGGTTAGGGTTTAGGGTTTAGGGTTTAGGGTTTAGGCCATCCTTGTTGGTATCCATCTGTTCCAGGACGGCCTCGATCATCTCATCACTCAAAGCCGACCCCACGTCACGAATGCTGCGCAGGACATGGCGGAGTTCCCCGGGATCGATGAAACCATCACCGTTGAGGTCAAAGCTCTTGAAAATTGCCAGGATGCGCTCTGCTTTCTCAGTATCCTTGTCATGGACCTTCCTTCTGGCTGGTGCAGCTGCCTTTGGTGCTGCTGGCTCCAGCTCTCCTTCCAGAGACGTGTAGAGCGTGGCAGCCACCCGCAGCATTGCACGGCTGCTGTCCGGGAGGACCATCATCTGCCCCTGGTCCAGCCAGACGTTTTGAAGCTGCGTCAAGTTCCGAAAAGTCTCTGGCAAGGTCCGAAGGGCGTTGGAACTCAGATTCAGGTCTTGTAACTCTGAGAGGTTCCCAATCTGGAGCGGCAAAGATGAGAGTCGATTGTGGCTCACCAGCAACTCCTTCAGCTGCCTCGCTGCAAGAATAGCGTCAGGTAAGCTTTGAAGCTCATTGAAGGACAGGTCCAAATGCTTCAACTGTGGCATTTGCAGCACATCTGGCAGCCTCTGAAGCCGATTCTGCGACAGGTTCAGATCCGTGAGGCTCGGCAGCTCCAAGCTGGGCAGCTCTTCGAGCCTTGCTTCCCCCAATAAGCCGGGGAAAATAAAAGGTTCAACTTTCAGGTCACTACAAAAGTCTAAGAACCCAAAAAGGTTTATAAAGTTTGGGTATTGGATATCTAAGTAGCTGATTCTTGGCCAAGGCCAAGCGCTTCAGCGCCTGCAGCTGTCTCAAGGGTGGTATCCGACTGAGCTGGTTGGAGCACATGGACAGCTCTTCCAAGTTCTCCATGCCTGGAATCTCCCTGGGAATCTCGCGAAACTGATTGCGATCCAGCTTCAAGCTTCGTAGGGCCTCCAGCTGTTGAAGGCTTTCAGGCAAGTCGGTCAGCTGGTTGCCATCCAACTCCAACTGAATCAGTTTCTTCAACTTTCCAAGGCTGGCAGGGCAGCTGGAGATGTGATTATTGGTCAGGAACAGGTGCGTGAGCTCCGGAAAAGACTCCCCCACATCCTTAGGCAGTGCCGTCAGATGCGCCAGCACGGTGAGCCGCAACAACGCCGCGCAGTCCGTCGGCTTCTTTCGTGCCTTGGCCAGAAATTCTTCCATGGTGACTTCGACCTCCTCTGGCTGTCTGGTGCTTAGTAGGGAATGGGGGAATGGGTTATAGGGACTACTATAAGAGACTTTAAGGGACTATCATAGGGATCCATTCCCCCATTCCCTACTAAGCACCAGACAGCTGGAGCTTGTTATGTTGTTGGTCCATGGTTCGTGCTTACAAGTTATGGGCCATCTCCGACACGTGCTTGTTGATCAACCAACGATGCCTTGTCAATGGAAAAATGAACAAGCATGTTTTAGAACAAAAATATAAAGGTATGCAACCAGCAGCCAGTCCTTGATGTAGATCTGGATCAGGCCATCCATTGGCAGCTGATCGCCATCCTGCAGTACACCTGAGGCATCAAACAGAAGCACCTGTTGAGCCTGCAACTTCATTTCCTTCGCGATGATCACCTTGGCCGGCCACACTTTCAGAGACTCCTCCTCCAAACCTTCACCTTCCACCGAATCGCCGTTCATCAGCCGGAATTCACGAGCCATGACGCCCTCTAGTGCAGACGGCCCGAGAAAAAGAAGGCAAACATGTGGTGGAGCCTAGGCAAATCATTGACTTGAGACACGCGGCCAAGTGAGAAATGTTCGAGAAAAGGACGGTTTCCTGCTTCCTCGTTCAAGCACTGTGGCATTTTTGGCCGTTTTTCGCTGCCGGCTCTTATTGGGCTTTCATAGGACGTTTCACGAGTCTGAAAGTTAAAGAGGTTTATAGTTTATAGAACATGCTGTATGGGTTTCTGGGGTTTAACCTAGGGGCCGTAATAATCAGCACAAGATTCGTGGGAAATTCTAGTATCAGCATCGCACGAAAGTCTAGGGAAAGCACCAATCGCCACTTATCCCTAAACCCTGGACCCTAAATCCTAAATCCTAAACCCTATACACCCCAAACCCTAGACCCTAAACCCCAAAAACCTTACTGAATCCTAAAAAATTCTGAACACTCAATCTCGAATCTTAGATCCTGAAGCGCAATGCAGCCATTGAGCCGCCCCGTGGAACAAAAAACACCAAGGACTGCTTGTTGTTGTGGATTTGGGGGTTTAGGGTTTAGGGTTTAGTGTTCCAGGCATAGCACTTCGGCGCCGGGTTTAGGGATGTGTAGGGTTTAAGGTAGGGCTTGTGGTTGATAAGGTTCAAACCCTAAGCCCCTAAACCCCAACCCTAAACCCGTAAACCCCAACCCTAAACCCCCAAACCCTAAACCCCTAAAACCCCCAAAACCCCTAAACTCTCAGAGGCCGCGCTCCTGTAGATCCCGAGTTGCCACCTGAAGCAGCTGCAGCCTGACTTCGGAGCTAGGATTTACGGTTT